GTCCGTGATTAGTATAGCCACGCCAGCTTTTTGCTACTGTTTTCATGGTGTCCCCTTTTAAATATTTTTACACCCAGTCTATTTGTCTTTCAATTCAATATTTGTATTTCTCTCTCTTTTTTAAGACAGAGTCTCACTCTCTTGCCATGGGTAGAGTTCTGTAATATTTGTAACTTTTATCTATTTTGTCAATATCTCTGAATTGGCATGTTTAATCCATTTACAAGTAGCATAATCTCTGATATAGTAGAATTTATCTCTGTAATTTTGTTTTCTATATGTCTTATATCTTTGTTCATCTATTTCTCCATTATTTCCTGTCTTTTCAAAATAATTATTTTAGTATGCAATTTTAATTCCCTTTTTACCTCATTTTTTTTTTTTTTAGTTATATTCTTGGTAGTTACCCTGAAGATTGCGAGTAGCATCCCAATTTAAAACAAATCTAGCTCATATTAATAACCACTTAATTCCCATATAACCAAAAATTTTCTGCAATATAACTCCTTTTTCCAGCCCCTCCTTAGTGTTACTATTGTTATATGATTACATCTTTATCTTACCCTGTTTCTTTTAAATGAAAAAAGGAGAATAGAAAGAATTGTAAGCAAAATACATCCATACATTGTTTGTTTTATATATTTATCCCTGTAATTAACTTTGTTAGTGTTTCTTATTACCTCATGAGTTTTTTTTTAACCTCGTGTGTTTTTAAATTAACTTCTAGACTGTGTTTCTTTCAGCTGAAGAATTTCCTTTAGTAGTTCTTGTACAGGAGTTCAGCTTGCAATGATTTTTTTCAGTTTTGTTTATTTTGGGATACCTTAGGTTTTTTCCTTCATTTTTGAAGGACAGTTTTGCTGTGTACATTATTTTTCATTAATAGCCTTTTTTTTTGAAGCACACTAAATATGAAATTCTATTACCTCCTCTCCTCTAGCATTTTAGATGACAAATCAGCTATTAATCTTTTTAAGGAGCCATTGTAGGTATTAAAACCAATTTTGTCTTACTACTTACAAGATTGTCTATATCTTGGCCTTTCAACAGTATGAATATTATTGCCTCTGTGCAGATTGCCTTGAGGTTATCCTGAAAAGAGTTCTTTGTGCAACTTGGATGTTGAAATTAATGCTTTTCATAAAATTTTAGACTTTCTGTCTTTTATTTTTCAAATTATCTTTTTACCTCTTTCTCACTATCTTGTTTTTTAGAATTTTCCACTAGGCCTACGTTGGTAATCTTTTGTTTTATTTGATTTGAGACAGAGTTGCACTCTGTGGCCCTAGGCTATAGTTCCATGGCATCAGTTTAGCTGATAGCAGCCTCAAACTCTGGGGTTCAAGTGATCTTCCTGCCTTAGCCTTCTGAGCAGCTGGGACTACAGGTGCCTGTCAAGATGCCTAGCTAATTTTTTTTTCTATTTTTAGTGTGTGGGGGGGTCTTGCGCTTGCTCAGGCTGGTCTTAAACTCCTGAGCTCAAGGGATCCTCACCCTAGCCTCCCAGAGTGCTAGGATTACAGGTGTGAGCCATAATGCCCAGCCTATATTGGTAACCTTAAATGTGTCCCAAGGGCATGTGAAGTTTTCTTAATTTTTCTTCTTCTTAATTCTTTTTTCTTTCTGTTCCTCAAAACAAATAACATTAATTGACATTTTTAAATACACTGGTTCTTTTTTTCTTGCCAGCTGAAACCTTCTGTTGAGCCCTCTAGTAATTTTATTTTTAAATGAGGTATGGCATTTTGCAAGTCTAGAATTTATAATTGGTTCTTTTATATCATTTCTGTCTCTTTAACTAGTATTTGGTGACACATCATTGTACCCCATATGCAGGGTTAAAGATCTCTGATATACTGCAAAAATCTGGCAAGTTAGTTTAATCCCACACATGGGCATCTTGTTCCCCAAATGTTTTCTTTATGTTTTTTCAGGCTCTTGTTTGACCCAGCTGCTATAGCAACCTCACCCACAGTAGCTGCTGATTATTTTCAAGGAACTTGCTGGGGTGGTAGGTGTTTTCCCTTAAGACAGGTCAAATAAAGTCAACACCTTGCAAATTGAGGCTTCCCAAGGAGTTTCAAGACAGGTTAAATAACAATAATACTCAGGACTGGGACTTTTTAAAATAAATCCAAGCTTGGTTTGTTTTCTCTTGAGGATACAAGGCTGCTGCTTTGCATGGCTACTGCAGAGCTGTCTAGAGGAGGATGGGATTTATAAGAAACAAGTTACAATAGAAAAAATTCTACTGATCTTACTAAAGTTTGGCACTTTTTCTTGAATAAAATCTATTCTCCTGTATTACCAGAGTTCTGAAAAAGTTAATTTTGACAGCTTTTGCAAGTGATTTTGTTGCTTATATAGTACAGAGAGATAAATTTATGGTGGTCTTACTTAACTCTGTCATTCCCTGCCTTTCTTTCTCGATAATCTGGTTTTATTACTTGAAAAATATTTTATTTTGTAGATTAGGCTTTTGCTTCTCAAATTGTGATTCAAGAATCAGTAACATTGATGTCACCAGGGAGCTTGTTAGGAAAACAATCCCAGGCCCACTCCAATCCAGTTGAGTCAGAATCTGCATTTAACAACATCTTGGAGGATTTATTTTTACGTTTTATTAGAAAGAACACTGTTGTTTAACGTGAACATGGCTCAAAGTTTAATCCATTGTTGAGCTATATCAAAAGCATCGGAAAAGATGTTTTGAATAAATATTCCTAGAACCCATTCTAGACCTGCTTAGAATTCATGCACATAGAACTGTGGGAATCTGCATTTTGAACAAGCACCTTGGGTGATTATTATAGGTATTGAAATATGAGAACCACTGATTTAGAATTGACAGTCATCAAATAGGGTTTTTATTTTCATTTTAACAGGCATTTTAATTTTATTTTTATAATATTTCTTTGTATTTTAAGAAAACATGCTCGTTCATTATATTTAAGTAGGGACTTTTCAAACAGACTCATGTATGGGTAGAATACTATTTATCTCAAAATGGTGCATTTATAGTGAATGAAAAATCTAATATCTATTATATGTCAAAATATATTATCATTATGGCTATTTTTCAGCTAGAACAAATTATGACCAAAATAAATCACCCCAGTAATCACCCTGGATTTATAGAAATATAAAGTAACATTAAGAGGGGCCAAGAGAGCAGACTAGAATTAGTCTGTACATGCTGCTGTCCATGGAGAGGATAGAACTTGGTGAGTAGATATTCACCATTACATAGTTCATTGAAGAGAGATCATTGGAAACCAACAGAAAGGCAACAGGAGGCTCCCAAAGTGAAGGAGAGGGGATTATATATGTCTAATTTTATCTTCTTTATGTGCAAAGAAGTGAAATCTGTGTCCCTTTTTTTGTTTGTGTTCCATCTACTTGGGAGGCTGAGGCAAGAGAATCACTTAAGCCCAAGAGTTGAGGTTGCTGTGAGCTTTGATGCCAAGGGCAACATAGTGAGACTCCATCTTAAAAAAACAAAAAACAAAAAACTTAACCTACTGTATGTTGTGAGACTTCTACAAAGAACTGGTCACAAGCCTCCCTGGTAATTGTGACTCTGATAGAATCCCTTGATGTAGTTCAAAGCACCCACATTCTTGCCTTCTGCTATTGGGGCTGCTCGAGGCAGCTTGTTTCTTTAACCTGGGTTGTCTCAGCTTCTCTGTTACTCTTTCACTCCAAAAAGAAGATGAAGTGGACATTGAAAACTAAGAAGAGGGAGGACTCTAACCCATCAAAGCCCTTGGGCAAGCTGTGTTATTTGCCCACCCTCTATGGCCCCATATAAAAGGGATCTCTAACTGCCCTGGGGCACAGACGCCATCTTTGCTCTACCTAGGCAAGTTGCTTTGCCTTTCAATAAACCTGGACTGATCCTTTCCTTTTCCTTTCTCCTCTCTGGGTATCGCTGCACCACTTTTCAACATTGTTTGCTCTAAAAACCTTAGTATTTAATATTTATATAATTTCTTACTACTTTTATATGAAAGCATCAGAAATATCAATTTAAAACAAAAGGACAGAATCTGGTGTTGACATTCAAAATTAGGATATATGATAGTGTTGTATTTTAGTTTATATATACGTGTATATTTTATATGTATATATGCAGATGTATGTGTGTGTGTTTTATCAAGAGCAAAGCATATTTGATTAATTTTATTACTAGTCTAGTTTTTACTGTAAAACTCATATTATGGGACTTCAACAACTATTATATAATTCAAAAAGTTTATTTTCAGAAATTGAGTTTGAACAATCTGTCCTTAAAAATATCATACAGATTCTCAAGGTAGAATTAAGTGTTCCTGATATGACTTTTCATGACATCTTTCGCCCTCTGCTAGAGGATAGTATACATATCCTCCTCCTATAATGTGTGCAGTTTAAGAGAGGACAGAATATTTGTCTGTTTCCCAGAACTTCACATCCTACACCTAAAGGCACAAAAGAGTATATTATTTTTTGAATGAATGAGCACTATCATACAGGAGGAACCATATTGCTGCATGATTCCAAAAGATGGCATAATTATTAATGTACTGATTAATTAGCTATTTGCATCTCATTTCCACCCCTGAAAGAAACATTTTTCTTTCCTGGAAATAGGATTAGAAATTTTGAAATGTGTACAGCTCCAACTGTGCATTAAGACTAGTGTGTGATTTCCTCTTGTTTCTGGAATATAAGTTGAGCAGTCATTTATGTTTAAATTTCCTTACTGTGAGAATTCGGTGCTACTATTCCATATAAGAAGGGGACTGTGTTTCACTCACATACTTCCATTTTAGACCTTTCCATTCTTTGTAATGTATGTGTTTTGATTTGTAAAATGAGGGCACATGAACTTGTAAAATTGTAGTTTATTCTAATTCTAATTATATCTTATGATAGATTGGGGAGAAAAAGAAGAATTTTTGTGGTCACCTGAATTTTGTTGCAGTAGATTGAAAATACTTATTCTTCATTTATTTCAGGGTTATTTTGGTGGAATCCCCAACGATAGTGTCATTACCATCACAATTAAGGGATTCTGAACAATACACGGACCATGAGTAAGTGTTTATATCTTTCACACTCAAAAGTATTTGAGAAATTAGTACTTAAGGAAACTTTTTATATAATTACACAATAATTTTCATTCGTTCAAAATTTTTAACTTACATTATTCATACTCTTATTCAAATATGTTTATAAGGTTCTAGGTTCATATGCATGAAAATTCAGTAAATATTCACTTGTATGGTAGATTTCCATTATTTGTAGTAGCTATGTTCTATAAAATTGCCAAACACACTCAATTAGTGAGGACTGAAGCATTGTTTCTGGGAGAAACATATATAATTACATAGATTATAATCATAATTCCTAGAAACAACCTGTCCTGGTTAAGTTCTATTTTTTTATTTTACAAAAAGCAAACAATGTTCAGAAGTGTTCAGTGGTTCTAAGGCCACCCTACTAAAAAGAGAGAAGTGATTTGAACCCTGTTCAACAGGCCCCAGAGCTGAAATTCTTGTGCTACCTTGCACTGCCCACTACCATTGTACTCTAATCTCATTCCTGTATATGCCCCTTTGTTTAGGAACTAGCACAACCAGTGACTAGAACTTTTCACCACTCTGTGCATGTTGTTGAACACCATGAAGTGCCATAGGTACTGATTTTGGACTTAACAAATTTTAGCAAGTAGGCCAATTTGCAAATAAGGAATTTAAAGATGATTAGGATCAACAATATGTGAATATATTTCACCTACTTCATAAGGTCTCACAGGAAGGACATTTGACTTCTGGATAAAGAAGTAGGAGTTTTAAAAGATAGCTTACTTTATATTGTTCATCTCTTGTAAACTCTAGAATCACTATCTACAGTGAAGCATAATTAAAAATAATGTTACCAAGGTTAAAGTTAATTAGGCAGAGAAAAAAATAATGCAGATCTCCCCTAATAAACTGCAAGCTTATATTGACCTTTATTACTAAACTATTAGTTTGTTTTATACCTTTGCTTATTTAATGCTTGACAGCATCAGTATCATCTTTTTAGATGCAAAAACATATCAAGACACAAGAATTTGGCAATTTTGTTAACAGGAATTCCCAATGTTGAAGTCGTCAGAAACCATTAAAGTGCTTGTGTAGATCTTGCTAAGATTAAAATGAATATAGTTTATTTTTTAAGGCAATACTTTTGGGAGATTATAAAGATTGCATCTATTATAAGATATTTGATTCCTTCAATGGTTATTCTGTAAGAAAAATTGTTAAAGAAGAAACCATTTTTTCTCACTGCATTTGCTTTATTGAATGCAAATTTCATACATACTAGAGTATTTGCAATCTTGCTTTTACATTTTGCACTAGTGAACAACAAAACATGAATTAATGCATTGAGCTATGAGGCAACATTGTAGATACCAAAAGAATAAAAGGATTGTAAGTATTTTATGTTAATTTCTTTGTGGATATGGAATGTTAGTATTGCCAAGAACACTTTAGTAAATAATTCTAGAGTTTTATCTTTTCAATTCCTTGCTTCTTCCTGATTAAGTGGCTGCTTTGTGATCATAGAGTTTGCCTAAATGGCCTTGAAATAATTTCTTCACATTAACTGTGAAAAATGTATATGAAATATACATATATTAAAGTACAGTCAGATTTTAAAGCAATGCTTTAGATATCCATGAGTAGAAATAACTCACAATCAAATCATTATAATGAACAGATAAATTGAATCTACTTTCATAATTTGAATGCAATCTAAGAATTCTGTGTCTCAAATTTGAACATGTTTTCCTTTATATAATGTAGTCTAGTGGATTTAATTAGATCCAAAGTACCAGTATTGTTGAGGCCATACACTCTAAAGCTACAAGTAAGGACATCTTTTTTGTGGTATGTATCCCTAATCAAACCGAAAAGCAAGAAAGAGGTGTAAAAATATTTAGAATTTAATTTCAGCACATAAGGAAGTGTTTATTCAAAACAATTGCCAACTCTGCATGAAGTACAGCATAAGAAATGTATCTACCATAGTCCCAAGGATTATTGATCATTCTTTTTTCACATAGAGTCATCTACTTTATTTATAATACTGTACTTAGTTTCCTCAAGCTTTCCTGTGATAAAACAACAAGCCTCCCCCCCCAAAAAACCAACACCATCAAAAATACATGAAGATACTAATACGCAGCATTAGGATGTGAGCTGCAGAGCTAGTTCGTGTGGATTTGAGAAAGATTTCTCCAGACAGAGATTAGGATATAAAAGTATCTTTCAAATGTTCAAATTACATAAAATATTACATGTTCTTTTTTTTTTTTTTTAAGTTTTAGCCAGGGCTGGGTTTGAACCCACCACCTCTTGCATATGGGGCCAGGGCCCAACTCCTTTGAGCCACAGGCACCACCCTTAAATGTTCTTTACTTTTTTTTTTACAAAATATATTGCTTAGGGCAGTGCCTGTGGCTCAAAAGGGTAGGGTGCCGGCCCCATATGCCAGAGGTGGCAGGTTCAAACTCAGCCCTGGCCAAAAAAAAAACAAAACAAACAAAATATATTGCTTAGATTATTAACCAGAAAGCTTATGAGTAGAATTGAAGCACAGAATAATTATAAGAAGTGGTAAATAATCTCATTAAGAATACGGTGTAAAGAAAAGGCAGTGATATTAATAAAAGTCAGATTGAATAAAGGAAGTTGATATATTTAGAATAACTTTACTTGGAAGTAATCAATATATTTCTATAGCATTAAATTCAGGCAAGTGTAGATGACAAGGTGAGAAAATACAGGGTTTGTATTCTCAGAAAAAAATCAGGCAATCAATACCTATGATCCCAATTATTATTTGACAGAGTGTCCAGCAAAATAATCATGAATACTAAAAGAGTACTATGGGGAAAATTGATGGGCTCTGGAAGACCTGGAACCTTTCAAGGGAAGCAGTTGCTTCAGGCAGTGATCAACTAATTCATTTTCAGAAATGCAACCAGAAGTTAAACAAATGCCTAAATTTCATTCTACCTTTATAAGAAAGAAGCAAATGTGGAAACAATAAACTTAGAGAAATGAATTTTTTCAAGAAAGATAACTCTGGTACCACTTTCAATACCCATTTAGTCCTAAATTGAGATAATCTACTATTAGATTGAGTCTCTGGATTAGGGTTTTATCCTAGATTGAGACCACCTACTACATGAGTGTCTTGATTAGGGTTTTTCTTGTTATTACTATCAATTTCCACTTCTCTACAGTAATTCATTTGAAAATAAAAAGCAATTATTTTTACCAAATTAAGAAAAAAAAGGATAGTGGAAATATAGATGTTTGTTAGTTTCCTTTTAGTATCTATTTTTTTAAACTTATCAAACAATGTGAATATCAAATTATATTTGGAAAAGATCTGTGGTGTTTTCATATCATATTAGCCATAACTTTTAAGGCTCTGTAAGTTTTAACTAAGTGAATTGTTTTTGTGTTGTATTTGTCTTATTGACGTTATTTTCCTATTTTCTTGTGACAGTGATAGTGTGGGCGGAAATGACAGTTTTCATGCATGTTCTTTAAAAACCTGTGAGTACCTGAATCAAAGTTTTTATTTATTTTCATGTCAGATTTTTATGGGCAAAGCATAATATGAAATGAAATATTCGATAAGGGGTGGTGACAATGATAGAATGGCATGCCCTGGGGATTACTGGCTGCATGGGAGGCTGACTTGTGGGTCCTCTACCTTTTCTGTTGATAACCCTTTGGAAAACTCTTCCTACCTCCTGTCACTCTGAGTCTAGATCTCTCCAAAGGACAAAAAACCTATTTAGATATATGGCCTTCATGTCTCTTTTGGCTTACTCTAAACTGTTTAAACCTATTTAGGGGACAGGGATCACCAAGGTTAGAATAGTAAGGAGATGACAGATTTACTCGACACTATACGTTACACTATTTACTTTATAGCTATAGGTATAGAAAACACAAGTAGAGTGATGGCTAGGAAAATGGATATAGGAATGTTCTGATTATCCACAGCTGCAGAGCAAACCACTCCAAATATACTGGCAAACAACAACCAAAAGCAATAATGATGGCAACCTCTCACCCTTCTTGGGTGACTGGGCTTACCTGTTTGACTCTAACTCAGGGTCAGATGGAGGCTGAGGCTTGAATCATCTCAAGGTTTCCTCCGTCACATGTCTGATGGTTAGTGCTGCCTTTTACCTGGGACTTCAGCTGGGGCTATTGGCCTGCCTGGTCACTTACCGATGGCCTCTCCGTGTGGCTCAGGCATCTTCATGGGATGGCAGTTAAGCTGTAAAGAAAAGTGAGCCAAGAAAGAGAGAAAACTTGCAGAAGTTGCATTACATTTTCTCATCTATTGTGAGAAATCATACTTTTCCACTTCTGAATTCTAGCATGCTATTTGTTAGAATCTCATAAAGGACCATGTCACCACATTTAAGGCAGTATTGAAGAATTTGTGGACATGTTTTCAAACTACAAAACATCTATACACTTACATATTTACATATGTAGACAAAGAGATAATTAGTCCTTTATTTCTAGTTGAAGTTATTCATTATGCTCTGTGAAACATTATATAGTCCACAAAAATTTGAAGACTTTAGGATGACCACTTTGCTATATATGTAACTATACTGAGGTTAATTTTAAAGGACAGTGAAATTCCATTTGTAATGAAAGTATTTATTAAGAAATCCTTAATGATGGATTTTGTTATATCAAGCTTGAAATGGGACCATTGTACTTTCATTAACAACTGTATGTATCATCTCCTAATCTTGTATGCTAATGAACATTTTATATTGATTCCAAAATTTTAATCACTAATTGAAACAGCTGCTTTATTTAAATAACACTTATAAAATCATATGCCAACAATCTCTATGTAATGTTTTGCTAGCAATTAAGTCCAATTTCGTCAGAGAATTTTTCTCTTCTTCACACAATATTTACCTGGAAACGAATGAAACTGCAATCTTGGAGATGTTTTTTCTGCCTTTTAATATCCATGTGCGCTATTGTGTAATCATCCTGAGCAACAAAAAGGTAAGAACGGAACTGTTGTCTGTGTGTTAATCATGGGCTGCCAGTTTAATGGACTAACAAGTACAAGGTGGCGTGAGGGCAGCTGGAGACTCTAGAAATGTACATCATTTCGGCCATCAAGTTGCTGAGCAAAGAGCTTATTCTACACAAGTTGTGGGTACATTTTATGATGGGTAAGTAGGGAAGTCTGATCACAGCAACCTTGCTGTGGCTTTATCTGTATCTGTGCTTGGTTATCTGTATCTGTGGAACAAATTGTAACATGCTGAGTATGTATTAGTCCATTTTGTGCTGCCGTAAAGAAATTCCTGGGGCTGAGTAACTTACAGAAAAAAAGTTTAATTTGGATCATGGTTCTGCAGACTATACAAGAAACATGGCACTAGCATCTTCTTCTGGTGAGGACTTCGGGGAACTTTCAGTCAAAATGGAAGGTGAGGGGGGAGCAGGCATGTCACATGGTAAGAGAGGGAGCAAGACAGAGAGAATTAAACAGCCAGCTCTCTCATGAACTAATAAAGCCAGATCTGACACCTTATCACAGAGAGGGCACCAAGCCATTCATAAGGGATTTGCTCTCCTGACCCAAACACCTCCCAGCAGGCCCCCAATTCAACACCTGGAGATCAAATTTCAATGTAAGATTTGGCGGTGCCAAGCATCCAAACCATATTATCAATAGAATGGCTTAAAATAACATGTTTATTATCTCATAATTTTCATGGATCAGAGGTTCAGACACAATGTAGATAGGTTCTCTGTTTAGAGTCTACCAAATATTCATTTAAGGGATCAGCCAGAACTGGGTTCTCTCCTCAGAGGCTCAACTGAAGAAGGATATGCTTCTAAACTCCCTTAAGTTGCTGGAGGAATCTATATTCTGTGGCTATGATATTTACATACCTTGCACCTTCAAAACCAGCAAAGGAGAAAGAAGAAGGGAGAGAGGAAGAGAGATGTGAAAGAGAGAGAAAGTGAGGGAGAAGAGAGGGAGAAAGCTAGAGAAAGAGGGAAAGTTTTATAACATTACTTCTTCCAGAAAGACACTGGCCTGAGAAGGGTATTTACAAAACCCAGAATACAGCCCTAATTGTATCTGTTATGTGTACACTAAATTGAGCACATGTGCAATGAAATATTGGTAATTAGAAAGAGATACTGCACTTACACCTAGTATCTATAGAGTCATTTACATGTTTAAAAACAACATAGACTATTAAATATGTAAAATATAGTTTAATTTTATACTTAAAATTATCACTTAGGAGGAAAAAATGCCTTTTTATAAAGGCTTATTTTTAATAAGGATAAATTTTGTGGTTTTAAAGGAGTTCAGGATTTAACTAAATTCTTCTTTATATAAAATTTTAAAAAAATAGTAACTGTAATGTGACCAATAGTTTGGGGTTTTGGTTTTGGCTGGTTTTTGAGATAGGGTCTTTCTCTGTCTCATGGGCTAGAATATGGTGACATCATCATAGCTCAGTGCAACCTCACACTTGGGCTCATGTGATCCTCTTGGCTCAGCCTCCCAAGTAATTAGGACTACAAGTGTGTGCTACCACTCCTGGCTAATTTTTGTATTTTTTGTTGAAATGAGGTCTTGATCTTGCTCAGGCTGGTTTCTACCTCCTGTCCTCAAGTGATCCCTCCAGCCTTGGCCTTCCAAAGTGCTAAGATTATAGGCTTAAGCCACGTCACCTGGCCTAACCAGTAGTTTGATCAAATGCTTCACAATTCCTTTTTTATATTAATTTATAGGAAACACTAGAGTTAATTCTTAATAGCACAGTAGCATTGATTTTATTCTTTGAATTAGTCTATTGTAATATTAATATTTGCTCAAATAAATTTAATCTAATTAATCAAAATATGATTATACTAAACTTGACATCTCAATTTATTACAACATGACTTTTGATTACATATATTTTGTCCCTGTCAGAGAAAACAAGTCTGAAAATTATATTGCTGTCAATTGAGAAATAATACCCTCAACCTAAAGGATTCCATCCGATTACAATTACTTATGTAGGGAAACACATCTATTAATTTACACATTCAATTATATTACTAATTAAATTGAAAAATCAATTACATGCTTAAATAGATGATCAAACATCCAAGCCCACCTAGTTTAGCTCTGTTCTTATTAAATGTACAATAACTGCTTTGCCATTAAGAACCACCTGTTTAAAACTGTAATTAGGCCTCTATTTGATAGCTTTCCACGTATAAAATAAAAAAAAATTCTACTAACAGTGCTATCCAAAGAAAGGCCATTTGTTTCATTTTGGCTGTTTGATTTGAACTTCATTTTTCTTTCTTCTTCTTCTTTTTTTTTTTTTTTAGACAGAGTCTTAATTTCTTGCCCCCATTAGAGTGCTGTGCTATCATACCTCACAGCAACCTCAAACTCTTGGGCTCGAGGGATCCTCTTGCCTCAGCCTCCCAAGTAGCTGAGACTATAGGCATCCACCACAACACCAGGCTATTTTTTAGAGGTGGGGTCTCACTTTTTCTCAGGCTGGTCTTGAACTCTTGAGCTCAGGTCAATCCACCTGTCTTGGCTTCACAAAGTGCTGGAATTACAGGCATGAGCCACTGTGCCTGGCTGATTTCAGCTTTCAAATAAAAAATGAAAAGATTTATGTAGCAACTAAAAGTAGAAACAGTTTTATAGATCTTCTAACAATGTCTGTAGAAATCTCATGCTATCAAATGTCAGGCATTTAAAGAATTTTTATCTAATATGGAATGAGGCACATTAATTGGAGGAATCTCCAAGCAGAATTGGGGTCCAGTCCCTGAGGAATTGCACCTTTTGGGAGGAAGAGGCAACAGACCCCTTTATAAAGCACACAAACACTGCAAAGTCAGAACAATGCACTGACATACCCCTGAGGCTCTGTCTTCACTGTGGGGCCAGTATGTGACCAGCTCCTCTGTGTAATTACCCAGCAATGATGATCTGTATGAGGGAGGTAGGGACATCAGTCAGGGATCCTTGATCTGGGGTCTAAGTTAAGAGGAGGTTTCAGTTGCAGCTACCAGCCCTTTTCACCAACCCAGAGCCTCCCCTCCCCCAGTAGATTTATCTTCCAGGCCTATGTTGTCCTCATCTGTGTACAAACCTTAGCTGCAATAAATTGAGACCAAATTCCAGGCATTGCTGAGTTGAGGAAATAGGGATGGAAGTCAACATCTTTGCAGAACTTAAGCAAATTGGCCCAGCCCCACACCAGAGCCCCACATAACAAAGCAAATGTCACCCTTCGAAAGCAATATTATTTTTGTGGGCCCTCTCATTTCTTGAAGGAAGGTGTAGAATATGGAGAATGACTATAACAGATTTTTAAGCTTGTCACCTTCAAGCTGGATTTCAACAATTTCATTTTAATATTTTTGTTCATTTCTTCCAACATAATTCACCAGCAGTATAAAGCCAAGTTTCTGGGCAAAGAGAGTACACACAGAGAAAGAGCATAATCCCTGTACTAAGGGAATCATATTCCAGAGAAGAAGGCAAAGTTGCATGGGACTGGCTCAGTTTACAGAGAAAGTTATGTGAATTTGAGTTATTGATGCCCCCTGTATGTGGATGAAAAAAGCTTACTAAAGATATGGCACATTGCTATGAATTAGAAAAATTCATCTCTTAGTCAATGAATATAGCCTTGTCCTGGGACAACCTTGCCCTTCCTTCACAAGATGCCCCCTTGCAAAACACACTTTTTGCTAGTCTATGTGGTATCCTGGAGCATGTTCACTAATTTCTTCAAACCAGGCATACAAACTATAACAATTTTTAGCGTAGAAGGGTGCATTCATTTCTGTGTGATACTACAAATAGAAGTAATTGATGAGTAGAGATGTTTGGTCAAGAAGGACGTGTAGAAGTTTGCCAATAAAGTGAAGAAGTTGGGCAGGGGAGAGATGTTCTTGGGGGAAGGATTCTAAGAACATGAGGAAAGCAGCTAGCATGAAATTTTGTGGATACTTGGATGACTGATTCTGAGAATAGTTTGTTGAAAGTGATAGAAAATGGGTTGCATGGATAAACTGAGTAGGACAGTGAATTTTATAATTATGATTATGTTATCAAAAGCAGGAACCCAGTGGGAGCATAGGTAGGATCTGATTTCATCTTTGTTTTAGAAAACATCTCAGGTGTTAAAACAGTGAGTAGATTACAGGTTGGAGAAAAGACCTGAAGGCAGTGAGACTGGCTAGGAGACCCTTGTAATCTATCACATGTTCCACACAACACTGCCTTCTGGTATTCCCTCTGTAATTCTAGGGAGGGATGCTGAGGAACACAGTTTATATTGCTATACAGATCAAGCTTAACAAGTCTAGGTGTTGTTCACACTTGAAGTGGAGCAAGTTTTTGTGGTGATAAAGGGAAAGAGATTCTTGATTTCTTTGCCATCATGATTACTCTAGCGTCTAGGGACAGCTTCCTAGTATTTGATGAGATGATGTCCAAAAACACACCATGAATTTTTAGTAAAAAATGAATTCATATTTGTGTTATTTAAATATATTTTACCTTTTCAAAATGTCCATGGAATAATCATCCAGATATGTAATTGAGATTGTGTTAAGATTATCTTTTATTGAAAAAGTGGAACATTTCAGTATAGGTATGTAAATCTTTTCATGAGTATTCTAACCCATACCCTAGCTCATCTCTGTGACTTAATTATTATAAATAATTTTATCAATTCTGATTAGGTCCACATTATAATTATGGCAGTCAAATATCATCTACAATGATTAATGAGCTCTCTTTAGTGTATGGAATTTAATGATTTAGAATTTTAGCTTAAATCCCATGTGCTTTGTTTAGATATCAAAATAATATAAAATTGTTCAGCCAGTTCAAACAAATACATTTTGAAAATCTAGATCTAGGAAAAGAGAATAAGTAGTACATATTATGTATTAAAAAATGGAGATTTTTCTGTCTGTGTCAATGTATTTTTCACTTTGTTTTT